GCTTTAAAACCCAGCAACACAACTGTAGATGTATGACTTTACAACAGCAGCACTGCTTTAACAAAAAATCAAAACAGCAAGACTTATTTGACATCAAAACAAACATTTAAAAATGCTGTCTAATTGCTCTCGCTGTATACACACAGAACAGTCTATGCAGTGCTGCTTCAGTCAAACACCTTTTGTGTTTTATTAGGAGATGCACAACAATTCTTCTGTGGCTTTATAGGTAATATTTTCACTTACACAATTTAGCAAAATCAGACAATATTGTGCCTAATATAAACCACAATATTAACTTATTATTATTGAATTGTTGTAAATAAATCTCACATTTGGAACTGGTCAGTGCTCAAAAAATGCTGGGAAATCACTTCATGTAGCCCTACAAGAGTGATTACTGATAAACTGTCTGAAAAAAATATAGTTTTTAGAGAAGAAAAAAAATCACCCACTGACTTTCAAAGCTGCTACATCATAATGACTTTCTACTTTGAGGATCTTGATAGAAATGTAGTGGAGTGAAAAGTACAATATTTGTCTTTCAAATGTAGTGAAGTTAAACTCATAAGTTTCCAGAAAAAATAATACTCAAGTAAAGTACAGATACTCAAAAAGTGTACTTAAGTACAATACTCAAGTAAATGTACTTAGTTACTGTCCGCCTCTGATATTCACGGATCAGGGAATTTATAGATCAGGGAATATTAAGTGCTGAAATAAACTGCTTTCAAAAGATCAAAACAATGAACAAAAACAAAGAACAAAAAATGCCCAAAGAAGTATAAAATAACATAGGAAATGAATACGGGTCATTTTAGACCCGTGTTGTACATTAGAAGGGGTTTGCATAGCTTGAGCATTAAAGGTTTAAAAATTCGAAAGTTACTTAAAAAATATATAACCTGAAGTTAGAGCAGGTTTCTGTGGTTCGATATTTGTGATTATAGATGGATACTAAGTTGACATTTGGAGTTCATATTAAAAAAATAATTGACAAATACAAGAAGGGCATTAATATATTAAGGTGTTTGGCTGGAACAGAATGGGGAGCTAGTCGACAATCTCTTTGGAGATTATATTGTGCTCTGATATGATCAACAATGGTAGTTTTGTACATTGCTCCGCATCAATGTCTTTGAGGAAAAAAGTAGAAATAGGGAAAATGCCATTAGAATTTAGAAGAATGCAATTAAGAATGGTATATTGTATTTCAATTAAAGGTCATGGAGAAATGCACCCAGTTAAAAAAAGTCCTGGAAAAATGTTGGGAATATGAATATTCAAAGGTGGAAAGCTATGGCTGGATAGCAGATAAAGAGGCACAGAGAATGTGTATAAGTGAAATTACCAACGGTAATATTACCTACTGTCCCTATATGGCTGTACATGTTACCATTAGTTGATCTTCAGGTGAAAAATATAATTCTGGAAAAACAAAAAAATATGTCAAAGGAGTTGGTGAGACAATATGGACATGGAATATAATCATTGTTTACAAACAGAGATGGCTCAAAAGATCCAGCATGGAGTAGAACAGCTTCAGCTGTTGTCGTTCTAGAGTTAAATTATACAATAAGTAAAAGGATCACAGATAATTTATCAGTTTATACAGCAGAGATGATTGCTATTATGTTAGCAGTTCAGTGGGTGGAGAGTCATATTCTGTGTCACATATGCTCAGAGTCATATTCTGTGTTAACAAGTATTATGTATGGCAAATCCACATCCAGACAATATATACTAATAGAAATCCTTCACTCGACATAGATGACAAAGTCAAGGAACAAATATTTATTTTGTATGGGTACCGGCTCATGTTGAGGTGGAAGGAAACGAAAAAGCATATATTTTAGCTCAGAAGACCTTAAAAAATACAGAAATAGGACTAAGTACTCCATTAAGCAAATTTGAAGTTAAAGGAATAATCAAAAGAGCAATAAAAGGTTTCTGGCAAGTGAGCTGGGATAAGGAAGGAAAGGGAAGACACTTGTACAGAATTAAAAGAGAAATAGGTCATAAAAGAGAGGTTTGTGGAAATAGAAGGGAAGACGTGGTTATTTCACGTCTCCGTATGCTCTCAACTGTTCTTTAAGTATTAATAAGAAACATGAGTCAGGTTTATGTAATAATTGTAAAAAAACCAAAGACAGTAGATCATGCTCTGTTAGAATGCACCTGATATAAAAATAAAGGTTAATACTAGAAAATCAAACCAAGTCAATAGGTAAGTGGTTTGTCAATTCAGAATTTATTAAGAAATTCATCACAAGTTTTCAAGATAATATTATAATTTATAGAGGTCACAAAAAAAAAATATATATATATATATATATTCTTTCCATTCTTCCTTATTTTATTACCTATATTACACTACTCATTGACGCACCACACTCCATCTCAGTAGGTGGCGGAAATGCACTATAAGTTGGTCTGCCAACCGCCACTAAGTTGAAAGAAGAAGAAGATTTTAGCCTTATGATCGATGTTTGTGTATTTCAAAATAAATGATATATTGGGTATAATATATAATTTATATAATATTGGGCCACCACGATGAACAGGTACGTTTGATTAATTCTGACTGACGCTGTTTGGACAGCGGTTCTCTGTGTATTGCTTGATTTTAGCTTTCGGTTCGCTCTTCAGTTGCTTACACTAAGGTCGCTTCTCCCACTAAAGTCGGTCGCTACTACCACTAAAGTCGGTCATCACCACTATAGTCGGTGATCACTATGATCGGCCATGAGCACTATGATCGGCCATGAGCACTATGATCGGTCATGAGCACTATGATCGGCCTGAGCACTATGATCGGCCATGAGCACTATGATCGGTCATGAGCACTATGATCGGCCTGAGCACTATGATCGGCCATGAGCACTATGATCGGTCATGAGCACTATGATCGGCCATGAGCACTATGATCGGTCATGAGCACTATGATCGGCCATGAGCACTATGATCGGTCATGAGCACTATGATCGGCCATGAGCACTATGATCGGTCATGAGCACTATGATCGGCCATGAGCACTATGATCGGTCATGAGCACTATGATCGGCCATGAGCACTATGATCGGTCATGAGCACTATGATCGGTTTACTTGTGTTATGTGTAGGGTTTTTAACCTACACAATTATTCTAACAAAAAATATTTTAGCAAAATGTTTATTTTCGTCAGAATTATGAGCGGTCTGTTTTGTGTGCCTTTACTGTTACTGCTCTCATAAATATGATTACTTGTGTTACGTGTAGGGTTTTTAACCTACACAATTATTCTAACAAAAAATATTTTAGCAAAATGTTTATTTTCGTCAGAATTATGAGCGGTCTGTTTTGTGTGTTTAGTGTTTTGATGCACTAATCAAATTCGTTGACAATTATTTTCATTATCGATTAGTTGTTGCAGGCCTAGTTTTATACAAGCTGTAAACACAAGCCCAACACAGGCAGATGTGTGCAGTCCATAGGGTGCATCAAGGTCGCATTAACAACCTTGATTACAATATCAATAAAGGTAAAAAAGGTTTTCATTGGAAAAGTTTTGCACATACTACAAAATACATTCACAAGAAATGAGAAGTACTTTTAAGAATGTTTAAAATTATATAACTCACATGAGATGAAGATTTCAGTCATTTCAGGCCTAAAGCAAGCTGATTTATTCTACATCAAATCACCTCATGGGGGCCGATGAAGGCCAGATGAATCCTCCACTCTTTTACTTGGTGAAGAAAATGCCCCTCTTTTCAAAAACTTTTGATGCTGCATACATGGCAGTTGTCAGTATGAAGTCTATCATATAGTCCAGTAGGTTACGGTCCACCTTTGGTGTGGTTGTCTTGATTAGGCCTGTCATGATAACAACTTCCAAATGACAACATACTTTTAATTTTTAAGAATATTTAGATCATGGAAATTAAGTATCAATATATTAGATACCTTAAAAACCTGAATAAATAGTAAATAAACATTTTCTAACAAAAAGTGCAAAGTAACAAGTAGAAAAAAGGAAAAACTTTTATGGAGATTTTTCCATCTAAAGGTTTTCCCCTGTCCTTCTTTTCTCTGTAAATTAAGGGTGCACACTATTGCTGACAAACACAATCCCTACTTAGCAGTCAGATGTCTGTATGCACAAAGGCACAGATCCCTAAACAAGGCCAAATCTGCAGATGAAACTTTGTTTGTAGAAGCATTTTTTTAATTTGAACGAGCACCTCATGACTACACCATGTTATGTACGAGAAACTGCAAAAGACACAGGTGCAAGTGGAATGTAAAAAAACACAGTCACGTTCATTTTTAAGTAAATATAATGGGCGATATATTGCGTCACCAAAAATGATTGAGGTTATGTATATATTGCGCGATTAGTCGATATATTGATTATTGCGACAGTCATAGTCTTGATCTTCACCCCATATGGTCTCAGGACCTAAAAATGAGAAGAATATATATATATACACAATATTAATAAACAGCTTGCCGGAATACTCAGTTGTTATTGGTCAGTTCAGTTGCTTATGGTCGCTCTTGCTTATGATCGCTCTTGCTTATGATCACTGTTCAATTGCTTATGATCGCTGTTCAATTGCTTAACCGTGTTGCTTATGATCGCTGTTCAATTGCTTATGATCGCTGTTGCTTATGATCGGTGTTCAATTGCTTATGATCGGTGTTGCTTATGATCGGTGTTGCTTATGATTAGGCATGTCGCAATAATCAATATATCGACTTATCTCGCAATATGGTGACGCAATATATCGCCCATTATATTTACTTAAAAATTAGGTTGTTAATGCGACCTTGATGCACACTATTGACTGCACACATCTGCCTGTGTTGGGCTTGTGTTTACAGCTTGTATAAAACTAGGCCTGCAACAACTAATCGATAATGAAAATAATTGTCAACGCATTTGATTAGTGCATCAAAACAAACAGACCGCTCATAATTCTGACGAAAATAAACATTTTGCTAAAATATTTTTTGTTAGAATAATTGTGTAGGTTAAAAACCCTACACGTAACACAAGTAATCATATTTATGAGAGCAGTAACAGTAAAGGCACTATTGTTGGAATTGTCCATTAATATAATATAATTACTTATTTGTTTATTACTTACTTATTTGTGTTTTTGTTTAAATTGTTTTAAATTCTGTTTTAAAATAGCAAGCAATCTGTTGTTTTTAGGCTTAGAATGTAATGTTTGTATTTTAACCCATTAATGCTTATAATGTACAGCAGAACCTACATAGATACATTCATTATATTTGTTTTCATAGGCAGGATGTGAAATTACATTGTTTAAAATAATGGATTCAAATCATTTTAATGACAGGTAGGCAGTATAATGCTGTGTATGTGCACGAAGTCATGTTTATTTGTACATGTAATTAATTTCTATAGAGATAATGCATTATTACAGTGAAACTATTTGCTATTTTATATTGTAAATTAGCAGAAACCCATCTCTACCACTGCAGTGCTTTATCACCATTTTTTTTATAAAGATGTAATTCATAGTTCTGAATCATTTTGTCATGTGAGAACAATAGGAATAGGAACTTGTCAATCTGTTTTTATTTTGTAGTTGTTTGTTGAATAACTAGGCTTAAGTAAATTGAGGTACTTTAGTAAAACCATGGTTAAACTATGGTATTGCAACCATAGTTAATTTGTGGTACTTGAACCATGGTTTGCACAAAGAAAAAAACATGGTTACTACAGTCATAATTTACAATAGTTTTACTGTAGTTTTACTACAATATAACTGTAGTAAAACCATGGTATCGCACCAAAAAAACCACGGTTATGACAGTCATGGTTAACTACAGTTTTACTATAGTAAAACCATGGTTCATTTTCATAAGGGTATAAGCAATTGAAGAGCAAACCTAAGCAATTGAAGAGCAAACCCAAGAAGAGCGACCACAGGAAAGGCGACTTTAAGGTAAAGGCGACTTTAAGGAGAGTGTCCCTATGAAAGGCGACTTTAAGGTAAAGGCGACTTTAAGGAGAGGCGACTTTAAGAAAAGGCCACTTTAAGGTAAAGGCAACTTTAAGGTAAAGGCGGCTTTAAGGAGAGCGACCCTAAGAAAGGCGACTTTAAGGAAAGGCGACTTTAAGGAGAGCGACCCTAAGAAAGGCGACTTTAAGGTAAAGGCGACTTTAAGCAGAGCGAACCTAAGAAAGGTGACTTTAAGGTAAAGGCGACTTTAAAGAAAGGCAACTTTAAGGTAAAGGGGGTTTTAAGGACAGCGACCCTAAGAAAGGCGACTTTAAGGTAAAGGCGACTTTAAGGTAAAGGCGACTTTAAGGAAAGGCGACTTTAAGGAAAGGCAACTTTAAGGTAAAGGCGACTTTGAGGAGAGCGACCCTAAGAAAGGCGACTTTAAGGAAAGGCGACTTCAAGGAAAGGCGACTTCAAGGAAAGGCGACTTCAAGGAAAGGCGACTTCAAGGAAAGGCGACTTCAAGGAAAGGCGACTTCAAGGAAAGGCGACTTCAAGGAAAGGCGACTTCAAGGAAAGGCGACTTCAAGGAAAGGCGACTTCAAGGAAAGGCGACTTCAAGGAAAGGCGACTTCAAGGAAAGGCGACTTCAAGGAAAGGCGACTTCAAGGAAAGGCGACTTCAAGGAAAGGCGACTTCAAGGAAAGGCGAAAACTAAAGGCGACTTTAAAGGGGTCATATGATGCTGCTAAAAAGAACATTATTTTGTGTAATGAAATGTGTTTATGCGGTTTAAAGTTTAAAAAAACATAATTTTCCACATACTGTACATTATTTTTTTCTCCTCTATGCCCCACCTTTTTGAAATGCGTAGATTTTTACAAAGCTCATCGTTCTGAAATAGCGATGTGTGCTGTGATTGGCCAGTTATCCAATGCGTTGTGATTGGCCGAATACCTCAAGCGTGAGACGGAAATGTTACGCCCCTCACATACTGGTGATGCCGTGTCCCGGCCGGAGCGACAAGACAAAAACATTAAAACCCATTACAAACGAGGCATTTTTTGCAACCAGTGGGGACATAATTACTGATTATAATGACTTATACTGTCTTTTTACGCGTTGCGTTGCATTGCATCGCGCCGCGTAAACATAAAAGTCTGTCTGCATTTGTGATCAGAGAAATGACAAACAACAAGTGCTACTTTACTGGCCAAAACTCTCGTTTGAATCATCAGTGGCAAATCCTTTAAATGAAAACGTAATTACGTGAGTCAGAACTGCCGGCATTTTAGTCTAACGTTACTCTCCCAAGATCAGTAAACAGTCCTCCATAAAATGCGCTGCACACATCTGGATATTTGGGTTAAACTGTTCTGGAACAGTGTTGTAAATACCACTGATTTGTAGTAGCGTGAGGGGAAGCCCCGGGCTTAGCGTGCGCTGAGGCCGGGATAGAGTGAACAGAGGCCGGGCTAGCGTGGGCGGAAGCCCTGGCTTAGCATGAGCTGAGGCCAGGCTAGAGTTAGCTGAGGCGGCGGGGTCAAGAATGGAACACCCGGCGGATCCGATGAATGAGCGGCAACCACATGTGACGGACCCC